CATCGCCTTTTTGCTGAACATTTAGAGATTGAATTTGCTTCTTGTGGCGCCGCACAGCTAAATAAATATTGCAATAAAACAATGCTGAGGCGAAAAGACAGGCAATTCCAACAGCAGTAACAATCCCAATGGCTGTAACTGAAGCGAAAAAGAATCTGATTATGGAAAGAACTACACAAAGGACCCAGGTGGATAAAACTGCAAAAACAACACGCTTGTGAGTCACGAGCTCAGAGTACCTGAGATGGAGATGAATGGCCAGAAATCTGTCGGCACTCAAAGCCATGACACCGAAAAACGAGGCTGAAGAAAAGAGGATCCCTGAGACAATAAACGCAGCGTACGTTGAACAAGTCGGGCCGCCTCCAGAGTTCACCTGTAGCCATTTTACCAACAACATGACGAGTAAAGGATGAACTAGTAAACCAACTCCAAGATCAGAGACAACCGCACTTAGGAGTAGCGTTTTCAGAGTTTTTGACAACGAGGAGGGTCTTCTCAGCGCTTGGATTGTGACGCTGTTAAATACGATGGCAGTGAAGGATAACAAAACGTTTAAGAAACAATTTGCAATGTGCCATGAATTTAATGATTCTTCTTCAGTTCTTTCGGGCTGAAATCGCAAAAGCTCGTCGCACAGTGGAGTTTTCATGACGTTCTCCAGATCAAGAAAACAGCAGATGTTCTTGAACTTTTGATATCCTACGGTTACCGGCAAACGGGAAAAGTTTAAAAAAATCCCCGCACAATTCTGAAAGAGTTATCACTTAACCTTTGGCGGTCAAAAAAGCAAGTAAACAGAATTTTGTACTAATTTGGCCCCAACGTCGCCAGAGTCATCAAGTGCAAACAGAAGAATAAAACAATGTGTTATATAACGTCTTAGACAACTACGGACCTCAGTCGGCGGCTTGGTCCAATTAGACCGACATGTAATAAATCATTCATCTTAAAAAATTGAAATTGTGTACCGTTCTTGTCGAAAACAGTGCTTGCACCCACGGCGAAAACGCTTCCAACCTGAATATCTTAATTTCCATTGATACCTACTTCAAGATGCGATAAATAATGTTCCAAATGTAAACACACTCACAGCAGAAAATTTATCCGTATCCATCTTTCATTACTTGATCATTTAAATCCTAGAGGGAAAACACCTGTTTGCAGATAAAGGTTTAGATAGCGCAGACGATCTCCATCCATCAATAAGTCTACCACAGAATCAATTTCACAAAACCATGACCCTAAGTATATCTAAGTGCTTAGCAATACAGTCATAAAGATTATTTTTCCTTTTTTCAGGTTACATCTTTACTGCTGACTACTTAAAATAATACAAGCTAAAGGGATCAAGCTTCGAAAGTGTAATGAGTGTTTACCCATGCTCCTAGATCATTTCCTTCATTTCTTTCCCCTAATTGGATGACAGATATTCCAACTGTCCACAGAAGATAAACAATAGAAAGAAATTCCGCTTCTAAATTTTTCGTAGACACAATTTCACTCTGAATGCATTGCAACCCGTGGTGCGAGCTACAAAAATCTCAGCGATAGACTGCATTTGAATAATGCTGCGTCTAAAACAAAACTGGGGTTAGAAAATGTCACATTAGAGAGCAAACAATTTAGTTCACGCTTCTTCAGTCCGTGAGATCTAGCTTCCGCTGCCGTGGGCTGTGTTCGACAAAAGCTGTCCCGCAAAGAATTAATGTAAATCTTTTTACATCTTGTCAAAAAGATAAAATTCATAACATTTTTACATCTTGTCAAAAAGATAAAATTCAACTGTGCTTTATGAACGAGAAAACTGTAAAAAAAAAAAAAAAAAAACTGTCGGTTATCGCTGCTTTACACAGACCTTTAGAGATGAGGTTATCAATATCGGTCTAACTTATAAAAACATAACGTACTTACGACCGTAACGACAATTTAAATCGCCTTGAAAAAAATCTGAGCTGGCGTCGAAAATTACAACTGTCGAGTCATCTCTTCGTCATTTCCTGATTGCTTACTCATGATTGGATATATAATATTCCAGCGGTAACTTATCAAAATGGAATCGATAAAACATTTACTAATGTGTACGTACTTCAATTTTATTAGATTACGAACACGAGCCCTGTTGTCCGGCAAATCTGTCACGTGGGTCATATAAGTGAGGAAAAATACGCATGTCCGTCCTAAGTGTTGTTAATGACAAGAATACGACTTTCTTACTAATTATCGAGTATAAGTGCTAATTGCATTTGTAAAATCCCTCTTTTACTAATCTACGGAAAACTGTGTAATTAATACTTATCATTGATAAGGTCTTGAATCTATGGTTTATAAGGAAACCACGGTCGCGTATAAGCGTACCTGTCTTTTAAACTCCAAACGATGAATAAAAAAAAGAAAAAGAAAGAGCAGTAACCAATATACATTATTCGAGCTCAAATTCCCGATGACTTTTATCAATTATTGACTTCAACACCTATGCAAAGTCTGAGGACCAGGCTGAAAAATGGTAGTATTTTCTCCATAGTGTCCCCTTCTTATGAGAATTGCGGTCGCAACAATATTCTTTTTTCGGCGTATTCTTTGGTCTTTTGTAGATTGGTTTCGAATCGAGCTCCTCAGTTGTTAGCTAGAAATAGATTTCGCAGAATGCCTATCACAGCCTGTCGAACGTGCTTTATCTTCCAGCAGTAAATAAGAGGGTTTATTGACGAGTTAAGAAATACCAGAGTCCATGAAGATACCAGAGATATCTTAAAAGCGGCGTTTGGTCTTCCAGAGTCTGGTGCCACAGCAAAAATGCAAAGTAGCGGAAGTAGCAGATCAAAAACACGAGATAGACATAAAATGTGCCGACCGCTGATTTTCTGCCTATAGCAAAATTTGTGACCATCTCGACATTCTGTGGTTGTAGAACTTGAATTTGACTTCTGTGTCGGATCACGGTTAAAAATATCTTACAGTAGAAAATTCCCGACACCATGAGGCAGACGATGCCAATAGAAGCAAGAAGTGCACTAGAAATCGTCGGGGATGTTAATATTTTCAATGGGGAAAAACTTGCTCTTAAAAACCATACGGACATCACAGAAGAAACCACATATTTGTGAGTAACGAGCTCCTTGTACCTGAGATGAACCTGAATGGCAAGAAATCGGTCTGCACTTAGGGCCGTGATCCCAAAAAACGAAGCTGAAGAAAATAAAGTCCCAGAAAGCGCAAACGCGGTGTATATGGAACAGATCTGGCCGCTCCCAGGGTTCGACTGTAAAAATGTGATTAGCAACACTGTGCATGAAGGATGAACCAGTAAACCAACTCCAAGGTCCGAAATGGCTAAACTCATAAGAAGTGTTCTTAGAGGTTTTGACAACGATGAAGTTCTTTTTAACGCAAGTACTGTGACGCTGTTAAATATGATGGCGGTGATGGACAGTAAAGCGTTTAAGATACAGTAAGTAACGTACCATGAATATAAGTGTTTAACCTCAGATCTTGCCGGCTGCAGTACCAAGAGCCCTTCGCAGAGTTTATTTTTCATGACGACCCCCAGAAGATTCTTAACTGACAATAATAGATCGTCTATGATGGTGTTAAATACTCTTAAGATCCTCGTTGGAGGGGAAGTGTTAACAAAAACATTCGGGCTCAATTTGTCTTGATTACAAATTTCCCCTGAGGTGATGCTAAAAGTAAGTGCACAGAGTAACGTTAAGATATTGCATACAATCGATAATAGCTGATCTTTCATACCAAGCCAATCAAACTAGAGAAAACACATCTGTTTGACGTGAGGGGGATGTCAGTCAGCGCACAAGCTCTACAGCAATCAATTTCCGGCGTACTTTTTTCACTTTAATGGTCAACCTACAACAAGCCTTTTAGAGCTCAGGGAAAATGCATCCGTCGAACATATCACTAAGTCGAGGGTTCGGCCATCTTTGGAAACAGTCGTCCTTCATTTCAATCAACAAGCTAGGTCACGTTCGTAAGTTCTCTGTATGTTTTCATTGAGCGACACCGAGAGCTTTACCTCTCAAAGTTTGTGTAGAGCAACAATACTTAACAAACAAGAACCAAAACATTGTCAGGAAAAAAAAAAAAAAAGAAAAGCTCATATCTTTGCTCACCATTTAATAGTTAACAACTGTAAAATCTAACTTTAAGTCTATAATAGAGCATAATGATAACTGTCAAGTAGGGTCTCGAGTATTTCCGTGACCAAGTTGAAATTGTAATGATTGGCCACCGCAAAGAGTGAAAAGCTGACGTTTCGAGCGTTAGCCCTACATCAGAGCCAATGACGAAGGGCTAACGTTCGAAACGTCAGCTTTTTAACTCTTTACGGTGGCCAATTTACAATTTCAACTTAGTTGATAAAACCAAATTACCTTGTTACGCCCACTGACGCAGCACCACAGTTTCTTTAGAAACTTACCCCCTCTATTTCCTTCACTGTGGACTCTTTTCGGATGATAGACGTTCCGACTGTCAATTAACTTACTTACAGCGGAGTTGATAAAACAGCATGTATTGTTTACTAAAGTTCAATCGAACGGGCAGTCATGGTAGTCCCATTGAATGCACACGCGCGAGCAGGGAGATGGATACGACGACATTATGACTGACTCGTAATTTTCGAGTGGGAGGGTTAAACAAATTACCATTGTTTATTGTATTTTTCGAAAAGGCTCTTTCTTAGCTCTACTTACAACTGAATAACACACCTTTGAAAATGTTCCATCTCTTTTCTGTTCTTCGTGCATCGAAAAAGCGCGCTGATCAAAAGTTAAAGATACATAATTATTTTCCGATAGTGCACCTTCGTCGATATCCACCTTCCCAGTTCATGTGGGTGATATTTTTAGGAAAATCGACCGGAATGTGACACGAAAAAATGTGGTTTAAGTAGTCTGTTAACTTAATCTTAAATATGTGCAATTCATTTTCTTCTTCACGATGAAATGTGCCATGAAATATCGCTGGCTTTCCACATTTCCATCCGAGAAAATCACTCACACTTTCTCACTGGGATGCGCGGCTCCCGTCTTCTGTAGTTTGGAATAAAATTTGGCAGCAGGTCAATAATTTCATGTCTAAGGTGTCTCAACTTCCAGCAGTAAATAGCGGGGTTCAAAGACGAATTGAAGAACACCAGAGTCCATGAAGAAATTGTAGATATCTTTATGGCGCTGCTTGAGTCAAAGGCGAGCGTAGCAGCAAAGGTACATACCAGAGGCACGTAGCAAATAAAAAACATTAGATACACGTAGAATGTACCTATCGCTGATTTTCTGCTTCTTGTTAAATCTGTGGTCGTTGTTATTACATCTTGTTTTCGTTTTTGTACCTGTAGAACTTGGATTTGATTTTTGTGGCGTCGCACAGCTAGGTAAATCTTGGAATAAAACACTGCTGAGATCGAAAGACAAGCAACGCAAACGGTAGTGTGCACTGCTGTTGCAACATTCGGCAACACCCATAGCATGAACAGCGAGAGAATTATACTCAAAACCCACAAGGTTACCACCCCAGAGACAACCCGCTTGTGAGTTACACACTCCTTGTACCTGAGATGGAGATGAATGGCCAGAAATCTGTCCGCACTCAGAGCCATGACACCGAAAAATGAAGACACGGAAAAGAAAATGCCAGTGAGCGCATACACGGTATACAAAGCACAGCTCGGATAGTATTCATTGTTCTTCTGAAGCCATCTGACCAGTAAAAGAAGATATAAAGGTTGTGCCACAACACCAACCCCGAGATCCGAGACAGCCAGGCTTAAAAGAAATGTCTTTAGGGGTTTTGGCAAAAATGAAGCCCTTCTTAATGCTTGTATTGTGACGCTATTAAAAACAACGGTGGTAATGATAAGGAAAGCGTTGAAAGTAAAGTTGGAGATGTAACATGAATACAAGTCTTCTACATCAGTTGTTGTTGGCTGAAGAAGCAAGAGTTCGTCGCAAAGTGGATTTTTCATGACCTTACATTATTCGCAGAAGCATGAAAATTTTTGCAATACTACGAATCCCGGCCCTTCGAGCTTTTCATTTTCCAACCTCGGTTTCAGTTTCTTAGTTATCAGATCTGTTTAAATTGTCTCGTTTATCAAACAGGCGTTACCTCCTATTGATAGATTTATTTGATGACAAGATTCGTGACATAAATACTATACATTGATTTAACAGCGTCCGGTAAATCTGTTTCAAACCATTTTTTTAGCAGAATCGAAGTGAGAATGAAGTTATTTCATAGTCTACCTGTGAATCCACTTACCTGGAGAATCTGTTAAAAGAATTTTCTAACCTGTAAAGTGAGACTGTTTTAACGACCCGCCAAGATTTCTGAATTTAGCTTCGAGATAAAGACTTGATTTGCGTTTGTTCTGATTGGTAATAATAAATGTATTTCTTTTAAATCGATTTATTATTAAATTTTGGCTTGATATTACGCGGTTTGTGGTGCTCATTCGAGCTGACTAGTTCCGAGTCTATGTAAACATGATAAACCTGACACGCTGGAAAATTACTGACATGGTAATTGCTTGCGCTGAACTTCCCTTTCCATTTCCAAAGGTCATATTCTTTAATTAACTTGGTCTTAAATTGAAATCGCAATTGACAGAAAAGAACGGTTTTCGCAATGACGATGGATTTGTTTCAGGACAGAAAGATATAAAAACAAATTATGATCCACTATCCTGCTTTATTGAATAATCCGCCAAAATCGAGACAAGAGTGATTAGAAGTCTCCAGGCAAATGGACTCCAAAGTTTTGCTATTATTAAGTTTACTTTTCACTTATGAAGCTGTCACTTTGGTAATTCATCTACTGCATTTAATAATATACACGATGAAATTACGCACGTCTGATTGGCTGAAAACAAGTACTTTTTTTCATGCAATAACGTACATGAAAAAATTGCGCACTTGTAAAATTTTTGAAGACCGCAAATTACACTTGACCCAACGGGCTTGTGCACTTTTGTTGTCTTTGAGAAATTTGTTGTGCTTATTTGAGCCAAATTGCACTCGAAATAATGTTATTGTCTATCAAAATTATTAACTATGCAAAATTACTTTACGTTTCCCATGCACCCTACCTCTCTGTATAACAAGGTGAAAAAGGAAATGAAACAGCTGTATGCAGACCATGATGTTTCAGGCAAACAAAAAAAAAAGGAAATTTTTTTACCCTCTTTCGGCAGTTTTATTACATCAAATCTATATCTGCTGTATTTTTCACAGCCTTTATCACTTTGAAAGTCACGTTAACCAGAGTTCATTTCTGCCGCTTGCTGTTGCCGTGAACATCAAGGTTAAACTCTTAAAGAACAGCCTATAGGAGAGTCCCTTTATCAAGTTTCCTCTTCCAGAATTAGTCATGCCTTCAATCTGACTAGCGGCTTGTTTCTAACAATATCACCCCCCTGATAACAATATCACCCCCCTGAATCACACAGAAAGGTGATGAGAATAAGGGAAATGATCACCAACTAAAAAAGCTCTTGATTGTTAAACAAATTCTCTTTGTCAGTCGCAAATGAAATGTGTAGAGAAGGGTAAAGAAAAGACGTATACTGATATTAGGGTGTCAAGGACGCACAAGTAACTCGCAAAATTTACTAACTCACGACAGGTGTATATCTAGAGCAAAGTAAGTCGGTTGCGAATGCACATTCAGTGGGTTTTATAGTGCAATTACGAAACAGCAATGACCGCTCCGAATCATAAAAAGAGGATTAAAAATCCTTGAGTTCAATATTTTGTACATTCCTGAAGTAAATTTGAGTCTAAATATCGTGCTAGATTAACGACTTTAATTATTTCACTGACGGCGAAAATAAAAATTCTTTAAAATTATAGATCGGTTGCTTGAGTGTAAATTGTTGGCAGAAACGATTCTGAATAGTGCAAATGAGATTTCCATCGAAAACTAAAATGTAACTATTTTTCTTTAAAATTTATAGATTTCTCGCATAAGAATAAACGGTGAAGTGTGATTTCAACACGAACTGTTTTCAGGAACCATTGGAAAGAAATCTTTGCCAAGAAAAAGTACCCCTCCAAAGTTACCGAGTTTTGAAATTTTTTGAAAGAGCTAACAACTCAGAGAGAAAATGGTCCAAATTGTACGCATTGAGAATTAAAGAAAGGTAAAAATATTAGACAGAAGGAATGCCGGGCTGAAATAATTTTTCATAGCCGCTGTCATTTTGATTGACAAGGAGGTTTAACAAAGTAGACCCCTGGAGGTAATAAATGTCTTCGATGTTTTTGGAGAATTTCGACTGAAAACATTTCCTCAGCTGGAATAACAGTATACTGTAATCCTTTGATTGATTTAGATACTAGGATAATTTTTCTGTGTGGTTAAATGTTTGATTAAGGTCATTTCTAGCCATTTTCGAAAGGATCCATCATATTATTCTCACACAGTCTTGTGTCTTGTTACGACATTGCTTTAGCTATAACTGGGGTACAAAATTACGCAGTGTGTCTATGATGGCGCGTCGAATGTGCCTCATCTTCCAGCAATAAATGATGGGGTTTAAGGATGAGTTAAGAAATACCAAGGTCCATGAACACATTGCAAACTTCTTTTCCTGCAGAGTGGCGTTTGTTCGACCAGAATTTGGCGTGGCAAGAAAGATACAAAGCAATGGCAAGTAGCAGATCAAAAACACCAGATAAACGTGGAATGTACCAAGTGCTGCCTTTATGCCACTTGCAAGATTTACGGTCATTTCGGTATTCAGTGTTTTTGGTCGTATCTGTAGAGCCTGAATTTGTTTTTTATGACGTCGAACGGCTAAGTAAACCTTGCAATACAATATGGCTGAGGTGACGAGGCATATGATGCCCATACTGGCAAGAACTGCTCCAGCAATACTCGAATGGATAAATAATCTCCCGAAGGAAAGAGTTGCACAGAATACCCACAATACAACCACAGTAAAAACAACAAGCCTGGGAGTCAGAAGTTCCTTATATCTCAGATGAAGATAAATGGCCAAAAATCTGTCTATACTCAAGGCTAAAACACCAAAAAAAGAGGCCGCTAAATTTAAGGTGCCGAAAAGCGTAAATGCGGTATACAACGCACATGTTGGACTGTTTTCTGCACTCATTCGAAACCAGTTGAAAAGTAACACGACGAGTAATGGCTGGACAAGAAAACCAACACCAAGATCAGAGACAGCCAAGCTCAGGAGAAATGTTTTTAGAGTTTCTGGCAACGATGAAGTTTTTCTCAGCGCTTGTATTGTGACCGTGTTGAAGATTACGGCGGTAAGGGACAGAAAAACATTTAAAATACAATTAGCAATAAACCATGAATATGAGTCGACAACTTCAGTTCTTAACGGTTGTACTAACAAAACCTCGTTGCAGAGTGGATTTTTCATGTTCGATCTTGGATGATTCTACCAGGTGTTCGTTCACGAATTACTGTTGATTTTCTGGGTGCACGGAAGGTTATCTAAGAAGCTGTAAAACTGCACTTCCACAAATTGTTCCTATTGGTGTTTGCAGGAATACTAGAGCATTAGCACTTTTCACCCCATTGATAGGCAAATAAATTTTAATTTACAGATTGTCATCGGAAAACGTTAGTTCAGTGAGCATTTAATCATTCTTATGATATCCTTTACAAGACCCGTGGTTTCGGATTGGTTTATGGAGTGCAACAATAGATTGGAGGCTGATGGAGTGAAGTTTGCCGCTTTTTATTAAACGAATCTCAGTCTCCCAATTCCGCTAATAAAGCAAACAATATTATTTGCACTATAGTCAAACTTTCTAAACATTTTGCCATGTATTTCGCAGTAATTATTAGACCTCCAACACACATATCGCTATTTATCGAGTATAAATATATTCCCTTTAACCTCCTTGAAAAACAGCACTTTTGTAACCGCCTAAACAATGCCTCTAGGAACTTTACGATACTCAATGAAATGCACTCCAAGTTGGGCACAGCACGCAAGATTACTCGATAGGGGCTGTCGCATTATACGGAACTGAAGTGGTACGGAGTTCATTGGCTCCTCAACAGTTTCCTTGCTTTCCAGCACCTGTTGTTCGATGGATCACTACAGCCATGGTTCTACATCTTTTACTCCAAAAAGAGACTGAAATAATTACCATGCATTTCAATCGCCAAACGCACGAATCGCCAATCGCAACCCAGCAACACTGAATTCACTTAAAAACACTGGTAGATTTTGCCTTTCGTTCTGTTTTCTTCCAAATGACCAAAATCTTTTCGGCGACCTTCGATTTCATCATCCAACTTAGATTAGCATACGAATAATTCATCCTTTTGCGAAGCCATAAAAAATCCGTACTGTATAGTTTGGTGTTACGTCACGGCCCTTTTTCGGGAACAGCTGCCCATAACACCATAGACAACCGCTTATGGAAAAAGATCAAATGTCAAGCAGTTTTCAATTCTCTACCAAGGTCCTAAAATTTGGAACTCTCTCCCTATTTCAGTCACTCCTTCGTCAAACTTTCTCAGCTTTAAAGCGAAATTGCAAGAGTTTTTACTTAAATAATCACTGAATTGGCCAAGCCGCACATTCGCAGCACTTTTTCTTTACTTAATTTATTATTGTAAGTGAGGTGGCTCTCCCATAAGCCTGGTGGCTTCTTGGGTCTCCTCGCCTTCTAACTGTTATCGCTGTAATTAACTATTTTTTAATTGTTAAAATAAGGCAAATAAAGATGATGATGATGATGATGATGAAATGGTCGGCTCCTAAGGGGTTCGAAATCATTCAGAGGGTTTACCTTTGTCAAAGACAATCAACTGTCAACTGCCTAATAAGTACAATACAAACACAATTATCAGACCAGTTGTCTGTATCCAACTGTATTGAGGCATACTTAAATCTACTGGAAACATTTAATAACCGCTCACCACTATGGACACCAAATCGCTCCTAGGGAGAAGGTATCTCAGTCCCTATTTAGGTTTCGTCCATGCTCTTTGAGACGTAATTCAAGATTGAGCTACCCCGCCTCACAATATCTCGCTCTATTTTATCAGAGTACATTACTGACACATTTACAGGCGCCTTGGTTTTATNATTCTCTAAGTATTGGACCGGGCACTGTCCCGAATGGTCCCGAATGATACCGCACTTGTGTCCCTTTGAACTTCAGTCGTATAATAAATCTCTTATTAACCAAGCTTGCTCGGGACCGTACTGGAAGAATATCGGCCCTCAATCTTTATTGTACGGACCTCGCTGCGCTCGGTCCGTACTGTCAAGACCTCGGGCCGATATTCTCCCAGTACGGCCCTCGCGCTTGGTTAGTAAGATATATTTCTTAACCAAACTTATGGCACAATATTTTCCTCCTTTACACATTTTCACCCTCAGACTGGATACGACAATTACTTTGGCACAAATTTCGCAGTATGTCTATCATAGCATGTCGAATGTGTCTCATTTTCCAGCAGTAAATAAAGGGGTTCAAGGACGAATTGAGAAATACAAGAGTTATGGAGGAGATCGAAAATGTCTTTACAGCGGTGCTAAATCCTGACACTGCAATAATGACAAAACTGGAGAACTGAGGCAAATAGCAAAGAGAAAACACAAGATACACGTAGAAAGAGCCAATTGCTGATTTTTTGACGTTTGCAACATTTGCAGCCTCTTGTTGTACTTGGAGGCAATGAATTTGTTTCTGATGGTATCGCACACTTAAGTAAATCTTGAAATAGAGAAAAGCTATAGAGAGAAGACAAAATATTCCTAAAACGCCAAGAATCACGTATGGAATCCTCTGAGGGATTCGCACAGCAACTATTGTGGAGACAGCAGCACTTAACACCCAATTGGAAATCACCACAGAAACGACACGATTGTGAGTCACAAATTCTTGGTATCGAAGGTGGAGATAGACAGCCATGAACCTATCAAAACTCAGAATGGTCACACCCAAAAACGACCCCGTGGAAAAAACGCTCGCCAGATACACAAACGCAGTGCACGTAGCGACAGACGAATTGCCAGCGCCGCCTTGTTGTGACTTCTTGACAAGCAGCCAGAAATAGAAAGGCTGGACCAATAAACCAACCCCAAGGTCTGAGATCGCAAGGCTAAGAAGCAGTGTTCGTAGACTCCGTGACAAGGCCGGCGTCTTTCTGATCGCTTGAATAGTGACGCTGTTGAAGATAATCGCTGTAATCGATAGAATGGGGACAAACACGCAATTAACGATGTAAAACGGTCCCGGATTCAAATCATCTTCGGTAGTCGTGGCATGATATAGAAACAAAGCGTCGCACAGTGGCTTTTTCATGACGTTGTACTGAGTAGTTTATGTGACAGTGGTGGAAGTTTGAAGACGGCGCAAGATGGCGTTCTGTTGGTCTTTAACTTTATAATATCACTGCGTCATTGAACGTGATGAATATACCACCCATACGTCAAAAACGTCAAATAAAAGACCAACACCAAACATGTGCGTTCACTGAAAGCTCGCTTCTTTGGGAAATTTAAGTTAACTCCCTTAAAAGAATCATCGATTAGATCGCCGCGGACAACCAAAAAAATAAATTAAAAACCACAGCTGAAAAAAAAATTACCTTGTGTGATCAGTAACCCAAGCCGTTTTCAAAATCTCGTAATTAGCATCTGATTACTACTGTCTAATTATCGGAGCACGTCCTGAAAGTTGAATGAAATATTCTCTGACGTGCAGTTTCGCTGTCAAAAATTCAAGTTTAGAATATCGAAGAACTCGCATAATATTAGTTTTTAAACCAAAATATTGAATTTTAAGCCATCAGTATCTGCCAAAGACAAATATATACTTTCTAATTGTCTTATTCCAAAAGAAAAATATCTTACGTGCGAGAGATAGTATCGTTTTCGCCCACATCGGGCGTTTGGCCATAATTTGTTTTTAGTTTCAGTTAATGAACGATCGCTGCTCAAAGGTTCTACTGACAGGCTCTCGAATTACCATTCGTGAGGGTAGTGTACTTCAGTGTGTTGCTTTAGCAGTTGAATAATTACCTCTCGTCAAAACTTCCACTGTACGGTTCATTTGGTTTCCTTAATTTGAGATTATTGGAAATTGCAGCGTTATCAGCTTCGAATTAAACTAAAGATGTAGGTTGTGTGGGCAGAGAGTAAAAGAAAAAAAACCTCTATTCCCCATGACGCCAGTTTGATCCAAACGTTGGCAGCTTTTAGCTCTTTACTAATAACTTTTAGCTCTGCATGGCTAAATTCAAATATGAAAACAAAAACAAAAACAAATATTGCAACACACACATGGCGATTTCTTCAGCAAAATATCTCCAAAGTCAAAATAATCTATTACGCTGCCAAATTATTTGATCAATACAGCAATTCGCGCCTCTCGTGTCGTTATCTTTTTTTGAATACAGTAGTATTGTATCCAGTATGGATAAAAAATCTAGCAGAACTAAAATGTACGTAAAAGTGAAAGTCGTAAAAGTGGCAATAAAAGAAAGTCGATTTTTGCATGTACGACAGGACAACATCAGAGTGGTGCGTGTTTCCCTTGAAAAAGACATAAAAAGCAATCTAGGCTACGTGACTGAAGAATTTATTCCTGATCTGGCGAATCACCTGCTCAGTTTTCGGACGGGATCTTTAATGCCAGTTATTCCTTGGTGAACCTGTTTATCAGCCTGATAGAAAGCTTTGAAGTGCTTTTTCAAGCTGAGATTGCGAAGGAAATGCGTAAAAATTGCATAATACACGGAAAGTGTGGGGAAGTCGGTTTACAAGTCCAAAGGTCATGTATGAAGCTCGTCCGCTAACTAGGAGCAAATTTCACCGAATGGCCTAATGCAATATTGACAACGAGCAAACTATGAAAAATTGTCATTCTGTTGAGGTTGGATAAATGAGGCAAAGTTGCTCTTTAGTTGTCACGGCAAAGAAAAATATATCAAGAAAAAACTTGGAAGTTTTCTTGATCTGAAAAGGCAAATTTATCACTAATTGACCCGAATTTGCTTGGTTGAGAAAATTTTCAACCTCGCTCAAACTCGGGTATTTATATTTCTTAGCACAACACAGATTTCAGTCTTTGGATAAGAAATAACATGTAATCTATGACCACAACGACTGTGCCTTGGCAAAAGAGAGCGCAAACCTTGGCTACCCGAATAATTTACTTAAATTTAACTCAATTAACTTATCGACTCAAGGTCCACGTGGAGGATCTATTATAATCTTAAATTGTGACGAATTTAAAGTAAATGTTGCCATACAAGGACACGAAAACTGTCATCGACCATCGTGAGTATTTGAAAAGAGACCTTCGCTTACTTGAGATTCCGCTCTTGGTGACGCCCCAGACTCCACCAGAAGTTTGACGACTTCAACGTGGCCAGCTTCAGCTGCCATATGCATTGGTGCGTAACCATTCTTAAAAGAAGGGGATGACATGAATAAGTTGCGGCGTAAATTCTCACCAACAGTGCCATAACTAATATATGGCGACAAGGGAAAGCCTCTCATATAAAAAACTGCAGAGGGTTAAGCGGACAGGATTCAAGTCTTCCACATCATCGGCTCTTATGGTGAACAGGCCAGTCTAACTTAAGAGCATTTGCCTTCACTTAGGTCACTTAAGGTGAAGTATTCGTGAAAAAGATCTGAAAAATCTTATGTGCAAGTCTCTCTCCAGGCTTCTAGGAAGTTTTTTTGTTGATTGGACTCGATAATCTGGAGTTAGATCGATTTTGTCTTGTCTCGAACGCATCGCATATTGTTCTAAATAATTATTGGAACTGAAAGGAAAAGTTGTAGATCAAACGCAAACATTTTCAATAACCAGGGATGAATTGCTACTAAGTCAACAATCATATAAAAGCTACCACATCGTATTCACTTGACATTGTAATTTCACGAATAAACAGTCTTTTTTTAAAAAGAGATACCTCATCCGGCGCGTTGATATCGGCTCCTTGTCCAATAAGCTGAGAGATCAGTTCCCGATGTCCATTGGCGGCAGCCAAATGCATGGCCGTTCGGCCAAGTTTGTCCTTAACGTGCAGCTGTAGGGTTGACTTGCTTAAGAGAATACTGACAACCTCAGAGTGGCCATTCTCCGCCGCCAAGTGAAGAGGAATGGAGCCCTTGTTAAACAAAATCGAGAGAGTGTGCTTTAATTTTACGAAGCAATTCAACCCAATTTAATAAAGAACATCGAAGAATAGCCACTAACAAAATGGTTTAATTTCGCCGGTTTTAGCACATCGATGAGCATTTACAATGAATTACACTTCCACCTGGAAGCAAAAAATGCTCCAAATAAACTCTCGTTCTCATCCAATACCATGCATGACCTGTCGTTATGCAACAAAAAAAGCTTGATCACAAGCCATGAGGAGCGTAACCTGGTTTTCGAGGCGCAAAGTGACTCAGAG